CTACACCCTAAACCTTAAGCCCTGAAACCCTAAAACCCTAAACCCAAAGCCCAAAACCCTAAAACCCTAAACCCTGAACAAGTAGGTTTTGAGATGGGGATCACATGGTTTTGGGCTAACGTCCGGGAATTCCCATGCCGAGCTTCGCATGCAATTCACCTTATCAACGCTCGTTTAGCCCTGAACCCGAAAGCCCTAAAGCCCTAAGATCCTATATCTCTACAAGCCCAAACCCAAACTCTAACAGTCTAAAACCCCTACCACCCTACGGGTGGACTTGGGGCTTGTCAGCCCAGCCTGGGCCGTGGCAGTTTAAGCTTGCTGCTGCAATTCGGTCCCAAGCTTGGGGTCTTTTTCCGTGTTTGGGCTGCGTCCGTAAGTGAACCCCAGCATCGACTTTTTCGTACAGAATTATGGCTATTCCAGGCCAAAAGCACTACTGTCGATTCAGTCGCTTCAGGAGGCACAGCGAAAGTGTATCCGCGGACGGATCCGGTTGCCATTGGCCTGCACCTTGACATGCAAGCTTCACTACTCTCGGCTGGGGTTCTCGCCATGTACCCATTAATAGAGCCGTTGTGGTCCACGGTCCAAAAACGCCGGATGTTTAGGCTATGATAGAGGGTGGTCGGCAGCCTGGGATGATTTACGAATTTGGAGTTCAGGGGGTGTTTGTGGCTTTGCATAAATGTCTAGGCCTAGGCCTGAAAGTGCAGCGCCTGTGCCCCAGACTGACTCAACACCTTGAGCCTTCAATGCAAGCCCGACAGTTTTCTCAAAGGACCTGCAGAGCTCATGAGACCCCTACCCTGTGATCATGCAAGCCCTACTTGGAGGTTCATGGGCAGTTATAAGTGGGGTTATAAGTGGGGTAACTATACTTATAACCCATATTAGGGGACTTATAACCCTACTTATAACTACCCATGAACCTCCAAGTATAAGCCCTGTGAAGCTTAAACTGGGATGTTGAGGTCTTTTTCGTTTGGTTTTAGGCTATGAGTTCGAGCTTGGGCTGAGCCATGACTTTATCCTTGAGTCCAGTGCCAAACACAGGAGCCCTCATATTCAGCCATACGAACCGACGGCTCTAGGTGTATTTCTTTTCTTGAGAATGCCCAGCTTTGTCCATCAGCCTCATAAGTATCGTGGAAGTACAAATATGGATGTGCTCGTTACATCGCGTTCCTTTAAATCCAGCCTCGGAGAACCTTCGAAACCCTGAACATTCAACCGAAATCTTGCAGCTTACATCAAACCCTACACCCCTACACGAAAAAAGCCCTCGAAGCTTTCGAGTCCCCGAAAGCACCTGCTTAATGTAGGGGCCTTAGTAATTACCTATACTATGTTGGTTCCTTTAAAGGGTTCCTTAAAGGGATCTATAAGGGTTACTGCAAGGGATTAATGTAGGGGCTGTAGTGATTACCTATACTATTTTTTGGGGGGGGGTCCTTATTATAACTATAGTAGAATATACCCCAAAACCCTATTCTAATTATTAAAGAACCTACATTAACCTTATAGTCGCCCTTATAGAACCCTTTAAGGAACGCTTTAAAGGAACCCCAAAACCCTATTCTAGTTATTAAGGCCCCTACATTCATCCCTTATACTAGCCCTTATAGAACCCTTTGAGGAACCTTGTAAAGGAACCCCCAAAACCTATTCTAGTTATTAAGGCCCCTATATGAGCAGAAGCCTGTACCATTGTTGGAGGGGTTCCTTATTCTAATTATAGTATAATGGCCCCCGAAACCTTATTCTAGCTTTTAAGGCCCCTACATTAATCCCTCATAGTAGCCCTTATAGAACCCTTTAAAACCCTTTCAAGGAACCCCAAAACCCTATTCCAACGATTAAGGCCCCTACATTCATCCCTTATAGTCGCCCTTCTCGAACCCTTTAGGGAACCCCTTACAGAAACCCCAAAACCCTGTTCTAACTCTTAAGGCCCCTACATTAGGATCCTTTCCCCGGATGGCCGCCGGATCCTCCTTGGCCGAAGCCACAAGCATCCCGGCGTTTTAGTACGTAGGGCTTCTGTGGTCTAGGGTGTTTAGGGGTTTAGGGTTTAGGGGTTTGGGGGTTTAGGGTTTAGGGGTTCAGGGGTTTAGAGTTTAGGGGTTTGGGGTATAGGTTTAGGGTTTAGGGGTTTAGGGTTTAGGGCTTCGTGTCTCTATGGTTTAGGGGTTTAGGTTTTCTATTGTAAGGCGCCCTTGTTTGGTGTGTTGGGCCGTACGCATGCTTGTTGGATTAGTTCTTACGCGTACTGCTCTCTTTTGTCTTTGCAGCTTGCGTTGCTGATTCAGGTATCCAGGTAAAGCCTTGTTTTGTTCATGGTATCGGCTCTTTTAAGAGATGGTGTCTTCGGACTAATCCCGCTTGAATGGTCTAGGTCCAGGAGAGCTACCCCTAAGCCGAATGCTTATGGTGAACCCCAGAAAGTTGGAACATGGATTTAGGATGATTCGTGCTGGGATTCCCTATACTTTACCTTAAAGGGCATGAGGATAATGATGTTCCAACTTTCTGGCTTCTACTGTAGAGACAAAATCGACCGGAAGATTCAAGCTTGTATTCTCAGCTGGAATGGAGCGCGTTCGGGGGCGTAGAGGGCTGAGTTTAGGGTTCCAGGTATCCCTATGTTCTCTGATATGCTTAGATCATACTGTCTCACATCTTATATCATGTTTATATTACATGGCCAGGTATCCTGCTGGCATGTATACCTGCCTCTCCGGCTTCATCGACTCCTGCGAAAGCGTCGAGGAGGCAGCGGGTCGAATAGGAACCCACGGATCTCGAGTCCTTTCAATTTCATGTGAAGCCCCAAACACCTGCCAGAGATCTTGATCAGTTGCTTACAAGGTCCTTTTCGGGAGACTACAAGCATCTGCAACACGACCTTTCCTCGTGCACTCTGCATGCGGTGAATGGAACGTCAGATGGCCCTGCCAGGCCCCAAGCCCAAATCCCTCATTTCCCTCCGGCCCAAATCACCCGAAGCCGACGCTTTGAACTCAGGATTTGGTTTTGCAAACTGACGACCCGGCCGCGACTTCAATCCCCAACACCGAAGCCCTCGTCAGCCTCAAAGACCAGGACATAGCTCACCAAGAAACAGCCAGAACCTTCAGCCGCCAGGCTTTCCGCCGTGAAGCATTCGAGGACTGCCAGTGTCATCTGAAGCTAATATCCGCTTGGGCAAAAGCCCTGAGGGTTGCGCATGTATTTCATCCCCCTGTGACATAGGTTCGGACCTTTTTACTGGGTACAAGAAAGAGCCCTGCTTTCAAGTTCAGTAGCCGTCCAGAGCAGGGCTTACGTGTGGACATGATTCCCAAAGCCCTATCCTAAACCTTAGCCGGGTCCTTTTCTGGTGTTTTTTCCAGCAAACTCCGCTCCCGCGTAGAGCAGGACCCTGCACATTAAAGTCCCATAAAACAGACCGTTCAATGTCCTGCAATACTATGTATGTGTGTAGGCTTGTGTGTGTGTGTACATATGTATATATATATATATGTAATATATACGCTGCACATACATACATCTATTTGTATTCGTCTACATTTACATATACACATACACACTTATGTGTGTGTGTACGTACATATATACATATATATATATATATGTATTTGTGTGTGTGTGTCTGTCTGTCGGTCGGTCTGTCTGTCTGTCGATGTATGCATGTATGTATGTATGTATGTATGTATGTATGTATGTATGTATGTATGTATATATGTATGTATATATGTATGTATGTATGTATGTATGTATGTATGTATGGTCCGAAACCTTGCAATCGGCTGTTGAACCCTAAGGCCTTAAGCTCAGAAGCTTTTGACTTTATGTGCAAACGAGGAGGCAGGCGTCGTGCTGGACTCCATTTCCTTGGTTGCCTCACAGCCGTGGCCTATCGGAGACTTGCTTTGCATGTCTTATCAGCCATGAACGAAGGGAGCAAGGGTTTAGGATTTAAAACCAGCGCAGCCGGTCATGGGACTTGCAATCGTCATCATGACAGTCTTTAGTAGCGAGAGTGAGAGGCAGGAAAATAATATAGGGGCCTCAATAATTACCCATATTATTTTGGGGTGTTCCTTATTATAATTATAGTATACTGGGCCCTAAAACCCTATTCTAATTATTGAAGCCCCTATATTACCAGCCTGGAATGTCGCATCTAGGATGTCGCAGAGTCCACACCACATCAAGCACCGAAATGTCGTTTGCTTCTGGCAACCTACTGGCTCAACAACAACAGCATTGACCCTCAGACTCAAAATATAACGGGCCTTACGTAGAATGGTCCTTCAGCCCACAGGCCTTAAAGCATGAGCCGTCAGAAACCCGAACCCTGAACCCCTTAAACCCTGAAACCCTTAAGCCCTTAAGCCCCAAGTCCTGAAGCCCTTAAACCCTTAAACCCCCGAATCCTAAACCCTTCAACCGCAAAACAATCAAGCCCTTGAACCCTAAACCCTAAAAGCCCT